ATAATACATTTTTGCATACTATATATAACATATGAGGACTGTACAGTACAAATTTATATTCACAGTTTGACATGACAAAATGTCATTACTGAATTCCCATTGGATTACCAAAAATAGAAACAGTAAAGGAACATTAAAACATTCACATCTTTAGTGAGAAAGATTACCAAAATTTTCAGTATCTGCAAATGATAGGAATGCATGCTAAAAACCTTTAATTACCCAATTATTATTAGCTTATAAAATATATTACATTTTATTTTTAAAAATTCTGCATAGTTTTATACAAGAAGTAGAGTACATGTAATATTCCTGCTACATTTGCAGGCAAAGTTTGAAAATATGCTAAGCAGGAGGATTATTTTGTCTGTGTAACATTTAAAATACATAAATAGCAAGAAAGTGCTAATATTTGTAAAACATAATGGGAATTATTATAGCCCTTTAAAAATAACATGTGTAAAATACTTTCTGCAGTTCTGTTTGAAAAGATATACTTTACTAAGCTGGAAGTCAAAATACAAACACGGTTCTATCATGAAAGTGATCTCTTAATTTATGTCTGTGTTCAACAGAACTACAGCTCGTAACTGAAACCACATTTTCGAAATCTCAGCATCCCACTGAACGGCCCAACTGGAAAAGAACCATTTTTTCACAAAGCTGCTTATGACATGATTAAAAATGTCGTCCTAAAAGACGTATCCTATACAGGGCAATACTACTAGTGCACATGGGTGCTGAGAAACAGAACTGTATTAAGATTTCTTTTGTAATCGCTTTCCCAAAACCCTCATCTCCTTCTCATCAAAGCCGCTTGAACTTCCCATTTTATAACTATGCCTCATTGCCTTGCATCAAACTCCAGAGTTCAACTCCCGCTGCCAGCATGGATATATATTCCTGGTTTTCTTGGCATAAACAGACAAGTGGTTTGCCATTGTTCTTCCAGAATGTTTTCTTCTGTTGTCCATTCTAGCCCACAGCTCTGATGGTCTGCCATCCAGGCTCTGGCTAGGTCCAAACCTGATTAGCATTTTTAACATCAGTCAAGATCTTGAGAATCACGGTATTAAATCAGTAGTAGTATCCCTTTCTGCATTGCTACACACTTTTGCTATCTTCGGAGGGAACCACTGCTAATTGCATTTTTAAGGAACCCAGTGAAAGATGGGAGTTTTTCCCATACAATTAAGACATGGATTTTGGTCTACAGATTCCAGCATATGGGGTTTTAAGATAGTAGTTTGTATCCTTAGTTTTATAGCAGTCCAGCAAAACGTCTTGACCAATCTAATTGCAAATGGTGTGGATCTCTGTTTCTTTTGCACTCTGGCACACACACAGACACATCAGTACAAAGAATCTTTAATAGCATTGCCCTCAAATTAATTAGCTAGTTACACAGGATTAAAATTAGTGTAGCATTAATTTGTATGGTATGTCAATTGTACCCTTTCCTCCTTTGCTCAGAATTAAAAAACACACCTAAAATACAGAAGTAGATGAAGATGTTAAGAGCTTTATTAGCAATTTAGAATTGGGGGACCAGACTTTTCTCCTTGCATTTTATGGCAGACACTGAAATACGTGATATGATCAAGCCATTTACTGTAGTTCAGGTGTATTGTGAGAAAAGAAGTAAAATATTCTATAGAAAGTAAGTTTATGAAAAATAAAGTGTTACAGCACTGCACACGAATGTTTCTTTAAAGATGTCGGTGATGAACCTACCCAAGGAGCTTGTAAAATGATGGCATCTATTTTATGCAAAGGCACTAGGACGCAACTTGGTACATTATATTCATTTCAGCTCTCAATATATGCTGTCAATGTACAGCAGTCACCACAGTCTAAA